ATTATATTATTATTGTACTATTATTGAAACATATAGTAATCATCACAACTAGCATGGAATCTCCATGAAGGCAGCTTTCTTTACTGCAGAACTGCTCTGGGTCCTTGACATGTTTGCGTCTATTTTGACTATCTGAGCAGGAAATACAGTCCACAGGTTCCCAACCCTACTTGACCTTAGAACCACTTGTTTGTGGACCCCCTCATCACAGCTGAACAACTTCTACCATCTATAAAGACTATACTTATATTTACAAAAAGTCTGTTTAGTGTTTTTTTAGGTATGGCTTACTAATTCTAGAAAGTAGTTATTTAAAAAGTTAAAAAGATGGATCTGAGCTTACTGCAACCCTGACCTCAATTTCTGGTAATTTTTTAGTTTACAGGTCAGTGGAACAGAAATAAATAGGGCTAGGAAAAGTTGGGTGGGATGAGAGTGTTTAATTTGTCAGAGAAAATACTGACCCTACGTCAAGCCTTTTCCGCTTTCCCCGTGGCTTCTCTGAATACATATCCTTTGATTGCCTACGTGTGCCACTGAAAATTTGAGATTTAGCAAATGGAATCAACTTTTAGATACCCAAGGCAATAACAAACACATTGGAGACTGAGGGAGAGGTTTGAGGGCAATTATAAGATGTTTTAATTATCATGTCTCATAAGAAGGCGTACTCATGATTTGTTTTAACCACTGTTTTATTCCTAATATAGGGAAATCAGAGAGATATTTTCATCTCCTGCATGTCTGACTGGAAGTTTTATAAGGGAAAGGTAATATATATAATAAATGTATAAAGTTCCGTTAAAAATACTGTGTACAGATGGTGCATAGTTAATACTGTATTTTATGTTTGAAAGTTGCTAAGAGAGATCGTAAAAATTATGACAAAAAATTTTAACTGTGATGATGGATGTTAACTAGACTTATTGTGGTGATCATTTTGTAATATATACCTATACTGACTCATTATTTCATATACCTGAAACTAATATAATGTTATATGTTAATTATATCTCAATTTTAAAAATACTTTGAAAGATTATAAGGTACTGGTTTAAGTACTTTAATTAGCTATGTGTTTATCTCTTTAGAAATTATTTTTTTACAAAAGCAAATATATGATTGACATAGAAAATGTCAGAAATACAGATACACAGCAACAAAAAAATTAAAATCATCCATAATCCACCATCTAAGAGTAACAGTTAATGTGTATATTTTTTCTATGTAAATATATTCTTTTACCAAAAAATGGGATTATATGTTGCTTTATACATTACTTTATACTTAATATATTTGTCTGTTTTTCACTTTGTTCAGTTTCCATATTCCTATTTTTATTACCTCATTTTAATGGCTGCATGGTATTCCTTGGGAAAGACATACCCTAACTTATTTAAAAACTTTCTTGTAAGATATTAAGATTTCTTTGAATTTTTAAATAGTCTGAGGGAAAAACTTTATACTTCTCTTTCTAAATATTTGTATAATTTTTACTTAAAAGAATATTTTCAGACACTAAATATATGTATTGCTTTACAAAAAATGTGTCTATTTTTAGACAGTGACTATATTCAGTGTACTACAAATGCAATTCATAGCTTAAATACACATCGTTATGGTTTATTAGAATACTAACAATTTACTGCTCTGAACCTTCTTTTTTTGGTCCCCACTTTCACTTTATGTAACTCAGAGAAATTTCCTTTTTTTTTTTAATCCTCACCTGAGGATTATTTTCCCTTTAATTTTTAGAGAGAATGGAAGAGTGATTTCTAGATAGAGTGGAAGAAAGGGAGGAGGGAGAGAGAGAGAGAGAGCGAGAGAGAGAGAAACATCAACATGAAAGAGACACATCGATTGGTTGCCTTCCACACACACACCCCTACGGGGCTGGGGAACCTGCAACCCGGGTACATGCCCCTGACTAGGGCCAGCACTCTGACCACTGAGTGAGACTGGCCAGGGCTGTGGCTGTTTTTTTAATGGAAAATAAATATTTATTGATTATCCACTTGAGATAAGACAATATCCGAGTTAAAGTCAGACTGCATATATTGTTAATTCAGCCTTGATATTTTTGAAATTTTAGAACTCATATGTTGTTAAATATATACACACACACACACATGTTAGTCCTCACCTGAGGATATTTTTTCCATTTATTTTTCAGAGAGTAGAAAGGAGGGGGAGAGACAGAGAGAAGAAACATCACTGTGAAAGAGACACATTGATTGCCTGCCTCCTGCATGTGCCCCAACCGGGTGGGAGTTGAGCCTGCAACCCAGGAATGTGCCTGTGACCAGAATTAAACCTATGACCCTTCTGTCCTCAGCCGACATTCTAACCCCTGAGCAAACCAGTTAGGGCATCAGCTATGTTTTTAATTGTATTTGTGCTCAGCCAGATTATTACAGTTATTGTAAAGTTGAGGAAAATATGAAATTATTAAAGTGAACGCAAGCTTTAGAGAAAAGCCTTTCATCTGAATAGATAATCTAATATTTGATTCTGAATTGAACTTTTTCATTTACTTATCTCTTTTTAAAATTTTTCTTCCACAGAATAGCTGCAGACACCATGATTACTCATTTGGACTTAACTAAAGCGAGAAACACCTTTAAGGAGTTAACCCAGAAAGACTGGATTACTAATATGGTGGTATTCTTCACATTGTTTGGAAAACGGGAATCACTAAAATATTTTTTATAAGAACTCAAAATTTCCAAAGAAATATTTTGTTTTGAGACATTCTTCGAGACCTTGTTGTGTATCCAGATTAAACTCAGATAGCATTCAGGTGTTTGCCCACAGAGTGCAAACAGTAGTCACACAGGTTAAAAATAGTGTAAATAGATAGGCACTCTTGGGGCATTAGAGATGATTAAAGAAATTGTTGAGATTGGAACACTAGAATATTTTAAACATAAGTATAGAAATGAGAATAATGTTTCTGACATGAACATCCCCTTCACTGAGGACTTTCTGGATTCTTCCTCTCTGTTTTGTTCCACTGCACTTCCTTTTCTGTAGGTTCTGTAATATTTTTGTTCTTTTTGAGATTGTTGCTTCTTTGTTTCAGCGCTGTCATTACTGTCTTTAGGTTTCCCACTTGCAGATCATGCAAACATACTTCCGTTATTGAATTAGCCTTTCTTGATTCAGCCTTTATTAATTTCCCCATGCTGTTGTACTGGTTGATGTAGGGGTGGTACTTGCTATGTTCTCTCAATGTGTTTCTTTCTGGGTCTCACTCTGGTTCCTCTTTCTTTCTCTCTCCTTCACTTCTTTTCTTTTTGCCTTCCTCTTCCTCTCCCCGCTTACCTTCTCACTCTTCCTCCCCCCTTTCTCTCTCCTTCCC